TCTCGATCAGCGGGCAACGTCGNCCCTGGCAGTCGGCCCCCTGCTACGGTATGCTCCCCCGTCTGGACCTCGCGGCCTCCGAGTGCGCAGCGTCCCCGATCGAGAGCCAAGCTCCGCGGGCCGCGTCAGGAGCCAAGCTCCGCGCCAGGGACGTCTGGGCCCCTGCAACAGGGACGAACCCGGCCCCTCAAAAGGAGCCCCCCCGGGGCCCGGTGCGGCTTCAGTGGGCCCCCCGGTGCCCGCGCCCGCCCAAGGCAGGCGCGTAGGCGGGGTGCGTCGCCTAATGCGCTAGAGAGAGATTCTCGGACTGCGCTTTGACGCCTCCGGCAGGCCCTCCGAGAGGCGCTCCGAGCCGGCAACCAAGGACTCGTCGGCCGTCAGACCGGTGATGGGGACCGTGCCCGTCACACCATTCTCTAGATAGGACTCGTCTTACTTAGAGGGGCCGCGCAGTAATCGGGGCGCGGCGCGCCGTGGCGGGCGCGCGCGCGCGGATGCTTTGAGCGGCCGCGGAGCTGCGAGTCGTCGAGTTCGTGCGTGTTCAGCTCGACAAGTTATCATGGTCGAGCGCGATGGTACGCAGCCACGGGTTCTCGACGGAGTGAAAGATCCGCGCGTTGTTGTAGGCCATGCCGATAGTGAGCACGGTGGTCGCGTAATACTCCAGCGTCTCGTCATCTTTTTCTTTAAGCATGATAGTCAGAGCCAAGTCAGCATTTTTCTTTTGCATGAGATGGAGAGGCATGAGCAGCTGCTGCCGGAAGCGACACTGCTTTGAATCGTAGTAGAGCTGCGGCAGCACGCGACGCGGGTTGAGGGTCGGCTTCTTCGCAAGATCGATGGCAGTTGAAAGGAAGGCAGCGAGCTCTGCAGATGGTTTGTCTGGCGCCACGGCTTGAATTCGCTTGAGTTGATCTGGATCCCGACGGATGTGCTGAACGTTCATTTCAAAAGGAAGATTGGGATCGAAGTCCATCCACGTAGGGGGCAGAGTCGAGCCGCGTAGGCTGCGCGGATCGTAAGGCTCGGGCGCGTTGTCAAAGCCCCCGGCCCGCATGGCAAGTCTGGGCGAACGAACAGTCCCCCATTCGCACCAGCCTGCGAAAATCCACGGCCACTTGTTGGGCTCTTCGTTCTTGCGGAAGAGCGCGTAGATCGGCTCGACGCCGTGTTCATACTTGGTGACAAGCCGGGTATCGTAGGCGGTCCAGCTCCCGCACGCGGAGGTGATGCGCTTGTCGGGCTGTTCTGCCTCGATGAACATGAAAGAGAATTTCAAGTAGTTTTGGAGCAGGTAGAATTTATGCGTATTCCCGTTAAAGTCTTTTCCGCCCCACTCCTCGTGCATCGCAAGGTCAGCAAGAACTTCCATGTGTGCGTCGAAACCGGGGGCTTTGCCTTCGACGTTAGGGAAAAGAGCGAAGCCGTGAGAATCATAGACAGTTCCGTCCGCGGCGCGGAACGGCTCCTCGCGACGATTGCGTTTGCCGCCAAGCGGGAACGGCGGATGGCCCGACACTGCCACGGCGCTCTCGTGAGGCCGCGGCGGCGTGCGGCTCCGCGGCTGGTCAAAGGCCGCCCTGAGCCTATCAGCCCGCGACGATGTTTCCGACATGAAAAGTACCTGCGGAGGCACGGCGTTGTTTCTCCGTCGCCGTCACGAGCCGGCTTACCTTGGTCTGTGGCGTTCGTGCTTGGGTGAGGCGAGTGGGTTGCTCGGGTCGCGGAGCGGGTTGATCTGGGGCGAAGTCAAAGCTGTGTGGTTAGCTTTGACGGTGAGACGTGAAATTCGCGGCACCATATTTCCTGGTGCGCCGCGCGGTTTACGGCAAAGTGGGCGTCCGGCGATGCTCCGACGGCGTCTCCGACGACTGGGGCGCCCCCAAGATAACCAA